GTCAACTAATTCTCTACGAACTTTTAAGCGAATTAAGTTTTATATTAAATAAAAACTCTAACTTTTTATAAGCTCAGGAAATACATATTTTTAGTAAAATTGAAATTAAAATAAAAAATATTTAAAAGCCTTCAGCTTGAGCGCCCCAATTACTCACTATACATAGAAGCAAACTAAAAACATAATTGGGAAATATTTCCTTGCTGCCTGCTGAACATATTTTGAAACTGAAAACAAAGCATTGGCCTGCCAAAAATACAATGCAAAGCAAAATACGAAGAAAAACAAACAATAAACAATTACAATTACCGCTACGCCATGCATTCAAGCGGCGAAATTGTGCATAAAATTAAAATGTTCCTCCTCATTTTCAGTTGACTTTCCACTTGATTTATCGGGTGCAAACATTTTTTTTTTTTTAATTCATTTTTGTTTTAGTTTGGTTGGTGTTTAAGTAGCGCGTGCATATTATTTAATGTATATAGTATTTGAATGTATGCAAATCTATTCATATTGATACATAATTACATACAAAATTAAAACTTCTTTAAACATATTTGAACTAGAGATGAGCACGAGACTTAATATTCTATCCCGATCCTTAACCATTCCGACATTCAACTGCAGATCATCACATATCACATATGTGGATACATACATATGTATGCGCTAATGAACTCATCAATCTTTGTGCAATTTCAACAAGTAAGCCTCACTACTTGCAGATGCCACCGTTTTTTCTTTAGCTTCATTCATACCCATAGATGCTTAAAACTGTATTTTCTTTGTATGCGCCGATTTAATTGAAAGCTATCACACAAGTTCTCCTCCCTTTCGTGTTAAATTGCTTACCATTGTATAAGCGCAGCGCGCGCGACCCCATTTGCTGGATGCCACTGCGCATTCCGGGCGCATCTTTGCGGTTTTGCAGCGAAATTACAAGCAAGTAACAAACAGCGCGGGCAGCAGCAGCTTCTCGACGACCTTTTGCACAGCTGCCAGTGTAGTACGATCAACATTCAGTAGTCGGTTGTACCTACTCGTACTTGTGTGCTTGCATTTTCATTAGCATTAACATTAAAATGCCATGACGCAGATGGGCATGCCACACATAGCTGCTGAGAAATCAATGTCACACTCAGCTGCGGGCAAAGTGTAATGATGCAGCGCTATTTATTTCATTTGTGGCAATGTTGAGCGCACGAAAAAATGTCCAAATTAAAATTTCGCAATTTTTTTTTATTTTTTTTTTGCATGTAAGCTTTTTGCTTGCGCTGGTACGGTGCACAGCAAGCAGCCTTTGTGTCGCTTCCCTTTTTGTCTGCTGCGCTTTTGTAGTGCTGTTTTCATGTGTGTCACTCTGCACTCAGCCCATCGGGTGACAAATGATTTGGACAGCAAATTTATTGGCCACTTAAATAGCGAATAAGTTTTTATTTTTTCTCCACAGCTGCCGGGCATACAAACTTGCAAAAGTAGCAGAAAGTTGAAAGAAACAGCCAATGCTATTTTACAACGAAAGCAAACAACAACTACAGAGCTAAGACTTTGCAGCATTTTCACTCGCATTTGCAGAATTGCTTGTTTTTTCTTCCGCTGTTGCTGCTCTTCGCCTACACTTTTTCATGTCGTGCTTCAAATGCATTACTCATACGCCAGGGTGTCCAAAGTGCAGAGGTACACAAAGCAATATGTGCATAAGTTTGTACTGTTAACAAATACATATATTTGCGGAATTTCATTGACTTGTGGCTGGCTGTTTTTTGTTGTTGTTGTTGTTGTCGGTCTTAATGCGAATTATTTTTGTAAAAATGTTAGATATATGTATTTAGTTGCTATTTGCTTTACTATTACTTGCTGCTGCTGCCATTGCTGCCGTGCCAGTTGTCATCACCGCTTTGGCATCAACATGCGATCGCCTAATTGATTTTCAATTATATGCAAATATGTATCATTGTTGCCACCACTATTTCTCTATTACTAGCTGACTACGTGTGTATATATTTGTAACATCTAAGTATTCGAATGTATGTATGCATTTGCTAAGCTCGTGCCAACAAAGAAAGCACTAGTCAACAGCCAACTGCAACAACAAAACAAGCACCACGATAACACTAACCCACAACAACAATTCCAACAAATACCTGCAATTCCAAAAGTAATTCAACTTGTAAACGTATCGTTTTAATTGAATTTATTTTTAATTAGCGAAAGTATTTATTTGTATTTAATTGAGTATTGTCTGTCAGACAGTCGTTTGTTTGGTCGATTGGCTGCGCTGCGCTGCGCTGCTGATTTCTGCTGTCTTTTTACGCGTAACTGACTGTCTGTCTGCCTGTTAGTTTGTCTGTCGTCGCTGCTTTGTTGGCTGTTGACTGACACTGCTATTTTAATTGATTGCTTATTTTTAGT